AAAAAGTGAACAGTGACATTCAGTACAACCTTTACTTTTAGTTCCAGAACATTTTGATTCCCCCAAAAGGAAAACCAATACCCATTAGGAGTCGCTCCCCAGTCCCCCTCTCTCACCCCTTGACAGCCACTAATCTGCTTCCTGTCTCTATGGATTTGCTGTTATGGACATTTCATATCAGTGGAATCTCACACATTCTAAGACTATTTTTTTTTTTGAGACGGAGTTTCACTGTTACCCTGGGTAGAGTGTGATAGCATGCCTCACAGCAACCTCAATCTTTTGGACTTACCAGGGGTCCTCAAACTTTTTAAACAGGGGGCCAGTTCACTGTCCTTCAGACCGTTGGAGGGCCAAACCGCAGGCCCTGGGACAAGTTGGCTGCTAAGCAGGACAGGCAGCAGCGGCAGCAAAAACACCGTGCGGGCCAGATAAATGTCCTAGATGGGCTGCATGTGGCTCGCGGGCCGTAGTTTGAGGACGCCTGATTAGGCAATCTTCTTGCCTCACTGGTGAGGTGCCCAACATGTCATCAGGCTAGTTTTTCTATTTTTAGTAGAGATGCGGGCTTGCTGTTTCTCAGGATGGTCTTGAACTCCTGAGCTGAGCTCAGGCGATCTACCCTTCTCAGCCAAGGCTAAGATTATAGGCTTGAGCCACCACACCTGGTCATTTTGTGACCTTTTTATGTCTGGCTCCCACTCCACACCATTTTTTAAGGTTTATTCATATTGTAGTGTGGATCAGATCTTCATTCATTTTTCTTTTTTTTTTTTTTGAGACAGAGTCTTATCTCAAAGAGTCCATGTTGCCCTCAGTAGAGTGCTATGGCATCACAGTTCACAGCAACCTCCAACTCTTGAGCTTAAGCAATTCTCTTGCCTCAGCCTACCAAGTAGCTGGGACTACAGATGCCCCCCACAATGCCCAGCTATTTTTTTTTTCTTAGAGACAGAGTCTCACTTTATTGCCCTCGGTAGAGTGCCATAGCGTCACAGCTCACAACAACCTCCAGCTCTTGGGCTTAGGCGATTCTCTCGCTTCAGCCTCCTGAGTATTTGGGACTATAGGCGCCCGCCACAATGTTGTTGCAGTTTGGCCGGGGCCAGGTTTGAACGCACCACCCTCACCCTGGCACCCTACCCGCTGA